GTCGAAGAACCGCCAAAGTCCCACAAAGTTTGGATTCCAAAATCCAGACTTGTGCAGAATCAAGATCAGAAGGCAGCATGAACTTTCCTCTTTGGTCGAGACAGTGGAAACTATCTCGCCCAAAGAGTCTTTGGCCGAGATAGTTCCCACTGTCTCGTCCAAAGGCAGCCTTCCGCGAGCACTTCTTCTCTACCTTCGACGTCTGTTCTGAGTCCTTCTTCTGCGGCCGCTTTCGCCACGCCACTAGTGAAGCCTTGGGTCAGTCCTGACCTATCTAAGTTCAAAATTACTATGGCCGATCACCTTGGCCTTCTGCACGAAGATCGAGGCAAAGCACCAGTGAAAAAGTGCTTGGGTCCGGTGATCAAAACACAGGAAGCTCTACAGACTGGGGGTCGTACACGCACTCCCATCAAGCCAACTACTGCTCAAAGGTGTCCCGACGCCTCCAAACAAACCGGGGCACCTTAATGTACTTGTTCGTGCGCCGTACATAAAATGGGCAAGGAGGCCTTCCTTTATGGGAGAATTATTATTACTTCTCGCCTGGGGGTCCGTGTTGAAACCTAGAAGACCATTAAGACTCCACACTCGCAAGAGGGTGGTTCTAAATGTGTGACTCCTGACGTGATCTTGGATTATTCAAAGGCAACAATAAGTCATCTTGAGAATATTAACAAGGTTCTACATCCCCAAAAGAAGATGTGTCCATCAAAAGACAATGTTATACTTGGGGAATCACACCAACAAACGATGGAGTGCTCCGGTCATCATGCCGATGAGTTGTACTGTCAGACTGGGGGTGCGAGCAAAACTCGAAAAAGGGCTATTCGAGAAACAAGCTTTCATTATTCATGTGAGAGACTTATTAAAGCAGTATTATCTGAATGTAGTTGTTCCAAAGTCATCCCACAAAGAGTCTCGGTGCTTCAAAGACTTTAAATGCCATCAATCGAAGTGCCAAAGCCTAAGTAAAGACTCTTCCGAAGGAGAAGATCCGCCATCCAAGACGATGAGTTCCCTGAGGTAACCATTAACATGGCTGGCAAAGGAAATGGAAAGTCTAAACGACATTCAACTAACTCTGATCTCGACTTTACCCCGGGAGGAGGAGTTGATCAAAGGATTTCTCAAAGAATGTCTCGGCTCCAATTAAAAGCCACCATACACAGAGACTATCGGAGGATGCATGAAGGAATGTCCTCAGATGATGAACTTTTAGACATTTGCTCCGCAATTGCTTCTGATGATACAATGTCTAGCATGGGGCAAGCTAAAGAGGTGTTCACAATCACTCCTGACCAAATGGCTCAAATGCTTCAAGAGGCTCTAGCTAGACAACGAGAAGAGATTAGAGCCGAGATGAAGACAGAGATGGAGTTGGTCATGCAACAAATGAGGGAGTTACAGACTTAACCGCATCAACCACCTGAGTCTAGTCAGCACACTGCTATAAATTCCACTTTTAGCGACGGACAATTCCGTCGCTAAAAGCCAATATTCCGTAGCTAAAACTTTTGGCGACGGAAAAAATTAAATTCCATCGCTAAAAGTTCGACATTATTACAAGGGTCCCTAAAAAGACTTATAGCGACGGAATTTCCGTCGCTAAAAATTAGCGACGGTTTATTAGCGACGGAGTAATGGTCGCTATTGAAAAAAAAATAAAAAATTTAAAAAAACATTAGCGACGGAATTTCCGTCGCTAATGTTAATTAGCGACGGAAATTCCGTCGCTAATGTTTAAAAATTCCGTCGCTAATGTTTAAAAAAATTCAGTCATATATGATTTCGTGCACGTTTTCCGTCGCTAAATATATGTTTAGTGACGGAATTTCCGTCGCTAAATATCAATTTAGTGACGTAATTTTCGTAGCTAAACCTTTTAAAATTGAAAATTAAAAATTGAAAATACCCTGTACAATATCAATAATAATTTTTAAAAACCTGTTCAATCAACACAATATAATATTCAATCTCACACAAATATCACATCTCACGCATATATCACACATTTAATTTAATAAAAGCAAGTAAAAGTTTCTCGACGGGTACATAATAAATATTGTTTATACAACACAAGAAATTGTTTTCAAAGTTATATCCCGCCGTATTATGACTACCCCCGGCTGCACCTTGTGAAGAAGTCCCGGCCTGTAAATATAAATCAAATGTTAACAAGTGTGTGTAAACGTTAATAAGAGTGTAAATATAAATATACTACAACACAACACCACAACATCACAACAACAACACAACACCACAACACAACAACACACAACACTACACCATCACAACACAACACAACACAACACCACAACATCACAACAACAACATCACACCACAACACAACAACAACACCACAAATCCTCCAACCTCACCCACCAACCAACAACACTCCCACTCGCCCTACCCCTCCCACCATCACAACACAACACAACACTACACTACACAACACATCACCACACATCACACCACAACACAACAACAACACCACAAATCCTCCAACCTCACCCACCAACCAACAACACTCCCCCTCGCCCTACCTCTCCCCCCTCAACCACCACCACAACAAAATCCCCACTCCTCATCCTCAACCACGATCAAAGCCCCCACCCACCAACCAATCATACTCTACACACCCCCTCCCCCTCCATCACTACCATCACCACCATCAACACCCAATCCCCATTCCTCCCCCCACCACGACAAAACCCCTCACAAACCAATCACATAACGACCACCACTACACAACACCACAACCAACCCACCAACCAACCCACCAACCAATACCACCAACACTACGCACGCATACACCATCAACAACACTACGCACGCAAGTATAAATTTTGAGGTTTGTGTTAGGGTTAGAGTTAGGGTTTGTGTGTAACAGTTTGTATTAGTATGTATCAGTATGTACGATATCATCTAATTAAAAAAAAAAGCAAAGTATATATATTACCTGTGACGACAGAAAATGTCTCCTATATGCCTCCTGAGCCTCCTGAGGTAGAGTCGACATGAATTGTGTGAACTCCAATACGATCTGCTCCCGACGCCTCCGTTCTTCCTCTAGAGCCTGCTGATATGTTGTTTGCTGCGACAGGCGATCTTCAATCGCTTTTAATCGCTGCTCCATCGAGTCTTGATATGAACTGCTTCCTGGTGTTCCTTGTGGTGCTGCAGACTCGTAGGTGCTACTAGACTCGTGCGGCCTCTGCTCGGATCCTCTCCACCGATATCTGTTCTTCCTACTAGGTCCAATGACCGTCTCGATGATGGAGTCCTCATCCTCTCTACTTAGCCGGGCAGGAGTGTTAGAACAGACCTGAGACTGAGTCAATTGCTCCTCTACCTTGGCATGTAATTTTTCCTGCGATATATCAAAACAACCCGGGCAAGTCGACTTAATAATGATGCATTGATATGAAATTGAATATATAAATGAACTGCTACTTACAGCCAGATCCTTATTCTTTGCTTTCTTCTCTTCATTGGCGTAATTCGGGCTCCAGGAAGTCAGAATACGATCTGCAAAATGTCTGAGATCTCCCCTTCCCTAATTTATTCAAATATATCATTAACCAATAACACATAAATTATACTCAACGTAAAAGCTAATATATTATATACCTCAAGCTCTAATTGATGATAATGCTGGCTGAATGTCCTGGAGCCCCCGTGATGCTCGTAATTGCGAGGCGCGTTGCGATTCCTCCTTGCTATTTCAGCTTGAGCCTGCAAAACAATGTCAATTCGAAACAATATAGAAATTCAAACAATAAATTAAAAATATATACTTCAATAATACCTGAATTTCAGCCGTGTCCCAGTAACTGCAAAGTGCAAAAAAATCTACTCCATCCACACGCGTGTCAAGATGCCAGTATCGCTCCCAATCTTCTGTTATTTGGACAAAATATTTTTTCTTTACCTCAAACCGCCATCTCTTGAACGATACATTGATTTGCCCGAAGCAGTACGTCCAGGCACAAATATTATCGTCAAGAAAGAAAAATCGCTTCAACATATAAAGAAAAAGTAGATACAAATCAGTGTATTAAACATAATAATAAACTAATAACTAATAATGATGAAAATTAAAATAAATGACTCACACATATATATCTCCAACAAGCCACCAGCGCATCAATCCGCTGCGATTTCCACGTCAAAAATATGTTGAAGAAATCGTGTCTCCTGGCTAAAACGGCAAGGAAATTGTTGAAAGCATTGGCAAAGGCCCCAACAGGCACTCCGTTTTCCCATCGGATCACAGCCCTCCGATTAAGATCAGGGATGAGGCTCGATTCCTTAGTAGCATTGCGGCCGCGTCGAGGAGGTTTCTCGGTACCTGCGAAACAAAGAATCGAATGAAACAATGAATCAATATATATTTGCGAAAAAAATTTAAAATAATAACCGATAAACTATAAAAATTTATTCATACCTTTCAGTTCGAGGCATCTACGTTTTGCTTGTTCGTACCTTTGCAGCGCGATGGGGCGCATATCATGATAAGAATCCCAATCATCCCTCACATTGGCCGGACCGTGGGCTCGCTGATCCGGAATAGAATCTGGCGGTAGTGCCGCAGCTTCTAAAGCTACGCTATACGGCTCAAATCTCCTCTCCTCCAATATATCTGCATGCGGTGGTGGTGGTATCTCCGCATGCTGTGTAGGATCAGCCTGTATCTCCACGTCATGTGGAGCATCTCCGCATGATGTGTCCTGTGGCTGCGAGTCATGTGTAGCATCTCCTCCTCCTGTGTAGTAAATGTTAAAAATATATTAGGCTCATGTTAATAGTTTATAGAAATGTACAAATATAACAAATAAATAAAAATACCTGACGTAGAGGCATGTGCGTCGCCTCCAGAATGTCTACCAAAAATTCTCTCAAGCGCTTTCTTACGTAATCCTTTTGTCATCTATACTTTGAAAACATAATGAATATCCAACAAAAGTATATAATGCAAATAATTAATAAAATAGCACATGGCAACAGAATCGCGTGTACATGATGTCCAGTTAAACAGATAATACAAAGGCAATAATGTAATACATGACACACTGTGTTACATGATAACCAGTCAAACAGATGATGTTGAGGCTCTACTCTGCGATCGTGTACGGATAGCTTGCGACCGTGTGCGTGCCAACGAAAGGACTGTTCTTATAGTTTTATCGACTCCGCTGCGGACAGGTTTTTTTCCTTTACGCCTTGGCTCACATATAATCGCAGGTACATCAGGGCGCGCTAGTGCAATTTCATCGTCCAGATTATTATTTTGTGTCAATGAAAACTCCTCGGTTATTTCGTCGGCCAAGATAACCTCCTCATCGTGATCTTCGTCAGACACGACTTCATGAATGTAGGCTCTAGGTGGATTCTTAAGGATAACCCATTCGTCATTTTTCATTATATCTTTGACATAAAAGCACTGTTTGGCGTGAGTAGCTAACATGTATTTTTCAGACTGATATATTTCCTTGTTAAGATTAACGATTGTGTAACCGTAGTCATCCTTCGCCTTTTTCTGTTCACACCAACGAACCTTAAACATCACATGACTGACTTCCTTATTAATCCCATAGAAAATCTCCACGATGTCTTCTACCTGACCGTAGCAATAGATTTCCCCCTGTATCGGATTTAGATCTTTTGCACTAGCGTATGACAGTTGAGAGAAGGAGCAGAACACACCGCTGTTTTGCGTTTGTCGTCTCTCTTCGAGACCGACGATGTTAAACCTAAAGCCGTTGACACAGTAGCCTCCATAATGCTTAACCACATTAGAAGGACCTCTGGCATATAAACAAACTTTCTCAGACAGGTTAATCCCATTCGTAATCCGTTTGTCAACCTTAAGAAAAGAAGCAAATAGTTTACATATCTGTTGGCAGGCACATATATTTGATATACGAATCAGAAATGTAAAAAGATCTTACTTCACCCTTCAGCCATGCAGGGAATTGTCTAGAGTGTGTGTCCATAACTCTCTTATTTTTTGTTCTGCATTTAAGATTAGTCTGGACATGTCGGATGTGAAGCCTAGACAAGAAGCATTTATAACGGTTAAATAGAGATAATTATTGTGAGGTGATCTAATCTGATTCAAACAGTTAAATACTTACGCCGCGTATATGTTAAATGTAGTATCATTGCTCAGGATATATGTGTGGGCTTGATCTAGCTCCATTCTGGGGAATCTAGTGTCCTCCCCACGATCATTGTAGAATGTACCGTCAATTATTCGTTGGGGACGGTTCAGCCTTGTCTCTACGCCCCGCAAGTAACGAGAGATAAAATTCAAACTCTCGTTACTTATGTAGTTCTCTGCGATCGACCCTTCAGGATGTGCACGATTATGCATCAGTTGTTTCATGAAACCCAAATACCTACAAGCATATAGTTTCATGATTTGTGACAAAATTGAACTGAGAAACGTAATTTGACAAATATTAAATGAATATTATAATAATAAATACCTCTCCACGGGGTACATCCAGCGATATTGAACTGGTCCTGCGATGCGGGCTTCGTATGCTAAATGTATTGTCAGATGCACCATGACCGTGAAGAATGATGGTGGAAATAGTATTTCCATTTTACACAGTGTATTAGCAACACGTCCCTCTAATTCTTCAAACTCCCTAACATCAATCACCTTAGAGCATAGTTGCTTGAAGAAACCGCAGAATTCTATTACCACCATCGCGAGTTCCTTGTCAGCATGTCGCAACGCAACCGGGAGAAGTTGATGTAATAGAATATGATGATCATGTGTCTTGAGTCCCAAAATCTTTCTGTCCTCAATATGCACATTTGCTGAAATGTTTGAAGCATAACCATCCGGTGTCTTCACGGACTTTAGAAATAAACACATATTGTGGACCTCATCCTTCGACAGTGTGACACGGGAGGCTGGGAGTTCAAACTTTCCGTCGCCCTTATCTATAGCTTGCAGTTCCGGACGAATGTTCAATTCTGCTAGGTCTCGACGTGCCCTTAAGTCATCTTTCGATTTTTTCCCGTCCTGCAACAAAGTGTTCAAGAGATTCTCGCATATGTTCTTCTCGATGTGCATGACATCCAAGTTGTGACGTATTTTTAAACTTCTCCAATATGGTAGCTGATAAAATATGCTGAATTTTGACCATCCATGCGGAAGTTCGGTGCCTTTTGAGACACGCTCATGCGACTGGACATTGCGAGGCTTATTTCCTTTTGATTTTCCCTTTCCCTTCCATTTTTGCTTCAATATTTTTCTCCTAACACCAAATGGATTTTCTTTGTTGAATCTTTTTTTTCCAAATATTTTTCTAGGTAAAGGATGTAGAAGCTCAAATATTTCTTCTCCGGTCAGCCTTGGTGGTGCCGGTCTACTTTCTGGATTGCCGTCGAACTTTCCTACTAACTTTCTGAACTTGTGCCCTGTAGGCAACCATCTTCTGTGTTGCCAATAACAAAACTTACGGCTGTACTTCAGGAACTTTCCCTCATAGTCTGACATGCAAATCGGACAAGCAATCTGACCCTTCGTCGACCATCCAGACAGGTTAGCGTATGCCGGGAAGTCATTAATTGTCCACATGACCATTGCCCGCATACAGAAAGACTCCTTACCATAAGCATCATAAGTGCTGACACCTTTTTCCCAGAGAAGCTTCAGGTCGTCAATTAATGGTTGGAGGAAAACATCGATGTCATTTCCAGGAGAATATCTTCTAGGGATCAAAAGTGACAGTATCATGTACGGTTGCTTCATGCACATCGACGGCGGCATGTTGTACGGTGTCAGCAACACTGGCCAGGTAGACCAAGCAGAGCTCATTAATCCAAACGGATTAAATCCGTCGCTAGCAAGCCCCAGCCTAATATTCCGAGACTCTTTACCGAAGTCGGGGTATATACGGTCAATGTGCTTCCATGCCTCACCGTCCGCAGGATGTCTTAGTTTCCCGTCCTCTTTACGGTCGGTCGAATGCCATCGCATATTCTCAGCTAGCTCGGCAGACATATAAAACCGCTGCAGCCTAGGAATAATTGGAAAATATCGGAGAACCTTCGCAGGGATTCTGCTCTGCTTATTTGATGCACCACCTTCGGATGTGCTTGTAGCTTCTCCTTTCCAACGTGATACATGACACGTCGGACATTCCTCCAGAGCTTCATTACCCTTATTGTACAAGATGCAGTCGTTAGGACAGGCGTCTATCTTCTTGTAATCAAGCCCCAGCGTATCAACAATCTTGTGAGCTTCGTAATAGGTCGCGGGGATGCTTTTCTCGCCGCCTGGAATGACTTTCCTCAGCAAATCTAATAACATCTCAAAATGTGTAACAGCCATCCCACTGAGTGTTTGGATATGAATAAGCCTCAGCATAAAAGAAAGCCTTGTGAACTCCTTACACCCCTCGTATAACGGTGACTCGTTTTCTTCAACAAGTCTCATCAATCGATCTACATCTTGAAACATATCATTAGTGTTGACATCACTCACCGACGGCGCTGCAAGAATATCTTCTAACATATCAGTCGTGTCAACTGTCGGATTGCTGACTTCAGTGAATTCTTCCTCTGATTGCATCACCGGGATGCCTTCACCGTGATGACTCCAAAATACATAAGAGCTATCAAATCCATTGATTGACAGATGAAAACTTATGTTACTCCTAGCGAGTATTTTACCGTTCCTGCAATTCTTACAAGGACAGAAAATCAACCCGCTTAGCGACCGTAGAGGGTTTGTGTCAGAGTAGGCTAAGAAAGCTTCTATCCTATCCTTGTACCGGGTGTCTAGATGTCTTCGATCACGTGGTATGCTCATGAACGATTTGTCAGGAACTGTCCGCATCTATAATTTAAAAATTAATGGAAGTGAGCATATCCCGTACACCCCTCGTATAACGGTGACTCGTTTTCTTCAACAAGTCTCATCAATCGATCTACATCTTGAAACATATCATTAGTGTTGACATCGCTCACCGATGGCGCTGCAAGAATATCTTCTAACATATCAGTCGTGTCAACTGTCGGATTGCTGACTTCAGTGAATTCTTCCTCTGATTGTATCTCCGGGACGCCTTCACCGTGATGACTCCAAAATACATAAGAGCTATCAAATCCATTGATTGACAGATGAAAACTTACGTCACTCCTAGCGAGCATTTTACCGTTCCTGCAATTCTTACAAGGACAGAAAATCGACCCGCTTAGCGACCGTAGAGGGTTTGTGTCAGAGTAGGCTAAGAAAGCTTCTATCCCATCCTTGTACCGGGTGTCTAGATGTCTTCGATCACGTGGTATGCTCATGAACGATTTGTCAGGAACTATCCGCATCTATAATTTAAAAATTAATGAAAGTGAGCATATCCCGACATATATCATTTTAATTTAGGGATGTAAACGTGTGTTCAGAGGACCGCATGTGTGACCGGCTGTCAGAGGAAGGCTTCTATCCCATTAGGTATGTAAATGTGACGTGTATATGTATTTATGTGTGTTCAAGTGTACTTTCAATTTGTCAAAATTTTGGCAGCACCTACCCGCTGTTCTCCGAGTACACTATAGTGGGAAGGATATACTCATGCATATCCCTCCGCAATTTGTACACAGAGAACAACGAGTAAGCGCCGCCGAAAATTTGACGAAAAGAAAGTACACAGGAACACAAGTAAATACATATACACGCCATGTTTACATACCTAACCCGTCCAAACTGGACAGATCCAATAAATATTTATATATAAGCCCCCTCTCACATACGCGTACAAAAAAGTTATCGGACCGAACAAGATGGCCTCGTATCCGCCAACGATCCTGTACGCGTATGTGACAAGTAAATAAAGAGCTTATATATAGTATTT